TAAAAGTAAAAGCAGCAAGGTCGCTGCCGACCGGTCGGTCCTGCTCCGTTCTGTAGAAACGTAAACGTTCGTAGAGAGGTAAAACGTCGATCACGAGGCATATCGATCGATCGACGATCCAGATTGATTGATCACACATTGTGAACTACGTAGAAAAAACTGTTTGAACTGTTTCAACTGTTTGAACAGAGAAATTCTTGACGATGCCGCTGGAAGAGAAAAGGAAATACTACAAGGGGAGCGTGATCGCGTTGGACCAAATTCCGACATGGGTGGAATATTGGACGAAAAACAAAGGGACTATAGGTGTAACGAACCTGGAGAAAGCCGAGAAAGTCGATGAGGAAGTGGGCAAGAAAATCTCGATATGGCAAGGAGACATCACCTCCCTTGAAATAGACGCGATCGTCAATGCAGCAAATTCGAGTCTCCTCGGTGGTGGCGGAGGTACACGTTTCTACTACAAGTAGAGATTAGGGAAAGAAAAGTATAGTATGATGCACGACATGTGGTAAAAAAAGACGTAAAAATCTGCTGTTCCGTAGTTGACGGAGCTATTCACAAAGCGGCTGGGCCAAATTTAAAGAAAGAGTGTGCCACTTTAGGTGGATGCCGTGTCGGTGAGGCAAAAATAACCGGGGGTTACATGCTACCTGCGAAGCGTTAGTATCGTGTGAAAGATAGCAAAGGTAGTAGATAGTGAGAGGTAGCATTCTTCTTACGGGCAATGTAATGTTTTTAGATGTCATTCATACAGTCGGCCCGCAAGGGGAAAAGCCAGAAAAGTTGAAGGAGTGTTACGAGAACAGTTTGACTGTGGCCAGAGAGAATCAATTGCGCACAATTGCTTTCCCCTGCATATCTACAGGTATATACGGATATCCGCAAAGACCAGCGGCCAAAGTGGCTTTGTCAACGGTCAAGAAGTTCCTACTCGACAACAAAGACAGTGTAAGATTTTATATTTAATCCATCACGGTACACGTGATATGATCCTTACACGTCAGCATATTGATTGGCCTCCGTTTGAAATTGCAGGTGGACAGAGTAATCTTTTGCCTGTTCCTGAAAACCGACAAAGAC